GGTGTAGAGCGGCGGGACGCAGACTTGCTGCTCGTACCGCCCATAGCAGCTGCGCCCCCATCCTCATCCTCGTCAGAGCTGCCGCCACCGCCGCCGCCGCGGCCTTCGCTGCCGCTGCCGTCAGCCAGGCCGCCGCGGCCGCGGCCGGGGGCGCGGGAGCTGCTGCGGCTGCCCTCGGCGCCCCGGGCGGGCGGCGGGGCGGCGGCTGCCGAGGTGAACGAGTCGCGGGGCTGCGAGCGCTGCTTAGATGCTGAGCGGCGGCCGCGCTTGGCCTTCTCGTCCTGTTCCACCTGCAAATCAATTTTGTTGCATGTCGGCAAACGCGGATCGATGGGTGTGACAAGCTGAGCACTGCACAGGCCTGTCCGCCTGCCTGGGTGCCTGTTCGGCAGCCCAAGAGCAAGCCTATCCAACAACCGCCTGCCGACACGCACACGCACGCACGCACCGCTCCCAATCCACGCACTCGTGCCGGCGCCCCAGCGTCCACGCACACTCGCATGGGTAGAGCCGCTCAAGCATCATCCCCCACACGCCCACCTGCGCGGCCGCCATCGCAAGGAGCTTGTCTATATCCACCTCCTCGTCTTCCGCCCCTCCGCCTTCCGCCCCTGAGTCGCCCTGCTCCTCGTCCTCCTCCTGCTCATCCTCCTCCGCCTCCCGCCCCTCCCCCAGCGCCCGCGCCCTCCCGCCGCCGCCCACCGCCGCGCGCCCGGCCGTGCGGCCGGGCGCGCCGTCCCTCCGCGGCTGCGGCGACCCCCGCTGCCTCCGCGCCCGCTCCGCCTCCGCCTCGCCGCAGCCGTCGCTGCCCTCGGAGCCGGAGCCGTCGTCCTTGCTGCCGCCGCCCTCGTGAGCACCGTGCCTGCCGCTGCTGATCCTGCCCACCCCCGATGGCTCCCGGGGCGCAGGCCCCGACCCAGGCCCCAGCTTGGACGCAGAGACCGCCGCGCCGCGCCCGACCTGGCCCCCGGCGCGGCCGAGGGCCGAGAGGCTGGTGGCGCTGCCGACGGCGCGCAGCTGGCCAGGGCCGGGGCCGACGTCTGGGGGCGGGCCGCCGTCCAGGCCGCGCTCTCTACAGGGGTGTGGTGCGGAGGGTTGAGTGTGCGCGCGCACGTGTGTGTGTATGTGTGTGTGTGTGACTTGTGTGTTTTGTGTGTGAATTTGTGTCTTTTGCATGTGCGTTTGTGGGTGTGCGTTCGCGTGTGTGTGTATGTGTGTGTGTGTGTGTGTGTGTGTGTGTGTGTGTGTGTGAGTATGCGCAGGTAGGGCGGGGCTGCCGAATCAGCGCCGGTTGCTTGAGGCGCAAAGCTGTCAAATCCGGGTCCAATCACCTCCAATGCTCGGCCAGGCGCGCCAATGCCAACCCCAGCCAACCGGCCCCTCCCCGCCCCACCTGGTGGTGTCCACGAGGTCCCCCACGTCCCGCGCCATCCACACCGGCGCCCCGTACGCGTCCAGCACCTCAACCAGCAGCGCGGGCGCCGCGTGCTTGGGCTTCAGGCGGCCCTCCCTGAGGGAGAGAGCGGGCGCGGGTGGGGACAGCGGGTTGGAGGCAGTGGCAAACGCGCGCGTGGGCGTGCGGCGTCCGTCCCGACATCCCAACCACCAGGCTGCTGAATCAGGGTGGCCCAAGGCAGGCGGCCAGCTGTTTTGCGCTCAGGAGAATGGCGCCCCTCACTCTGCAATCAAAGCAATCAGACACCTTGCGTCACAGAGGGGCCCGCGAGGTCGGTTTGGGGCGTTTTGCACAATCGCGCCTCACTTTGATAGGAAGAAGCCCGTCGCCGCGTCCATCACGCCCACACTGCTGTCCTGGGCCGCCGCGACGACGCACTTGATCGGCGCGCCGCCCCGCAGCGCAGCGTACCCGCCGATCAGCGGGTTGCGGTCGCGGTGGTGCGGCAGAGGGCAGCGTGCGAGCGCCAGCGACACCACCGGCGACTTCATCGGCGCCTGCGGGGTTGGTGAGAGGTTGCAGGGTTCGCGCCAGGGCGGGTGCGAGGCCGGGACCCGGCGAGCGGAAGGCTTGGCGCAGCGAGATGTGATGTGACCTGATTGCCGTCATGTGAGCCCCGTCGTGTGCATGTGCACATATACACATATACACACACGCACACACGCGCGTGCGCGAGGTCTCTGTCACTCCCTGTCATTCTTTTCTAAATACACCTGCATGCACGCACGCTTACACACATGCACGCACACGCTGGCACACACAACCAAACACACACACATGCACATGTGCATGTGCACACAAACGTCAACACACACACGCGCGCACACACACACACACACACACCAACGCGCGCGTGTTCCTCACTTGCAGCCACATCAGCGCCGGCTTCGACAGGTCTATGAGGCTGACTGTCCCCGCCTTGTCAGACACCGCCACATGCTTGAACGCGGGGTTGTACGCGCTCGTGCAGATGTCAGACGAGTGCACCAGCGACTGCAGGCGCAGCTGGAAGCCGGGCGCCTCCCGGATCGGCGTGGTGTCGTTGTTGGAGGCGCCGCCGACAGACTCGAAGTGGACGACATCGATGTCCCTGGCGCGCTCGTCAAATTGGAACACCCGCACCTTGGAAATTGAGAAGATAGGTGTGTTGGATGGGGCCCTGGTGAGAGCGCTGACTCAGCTCGGGGCAAAAGCAGGGGTTCGACCAAACATGATGACAGGCCTGGGGGTGACACGCCCCGTGTTCACCCAAGAGGCATGCTTGCATCACAAGCTTTGCAAGCGGACGATTGTGATATCGATTCAAAGCTGCGACGTCTCCCCCTCACCCAAACTTTTGAACCCAGGTAGAACATGAGAGGTTTCAGGGCGAAACCCTGAAACCCAATACTGAATCATACCCTTACTGTGTCCCGTCAGTCCTGAACTCCTGCCGCATGCCCATAGCCCGCTCTCTCTCCTCCCTCTCCCTCCGTCTCCCTCCCTCAGCCTTGCGCACCTCCCCGCCCTCATGCCCCGTAATCAGCAGCCCCTGCTCCCACGCAAACTCGAGCGTCGAAACCGGCCGCGCCGCGCCGCGCGCGCCGAGCGCGGCGGCGGCCTCGGGGCTGGGGACGCAGCCGAGCAGCAGGGGCACCTCCGAATACATGTCCCACAGCCGCACGACGCCGTCCTGGGGCCGGGGTCCGAGGCGGGGGCGAGGGGGGCAGGGGTGGGCGCAGGCCGGTGGCCGTGTCGGGGTCGGGGGCGAGCGAGGCAGGGGTCCGCGCAGGCCCCCGGTCGGGGTCGGAGGCGAGGGGTCCAGGGGTGGGGTCGCCGATGAGAGGGATGCGGAGGGGCGGGGCAGCGGGCATGGACATGGGAAGATCTCAGGGGCCGCTGTGATTGTCAAGCTCCACACGCAAGGGCCAAGCAGAGGCCGGGCAGTGCCTATTTGGTGCGACAGAGTGGAGGCGCGGCGTGCAGCATTGCACGAAACAGCCGCCTTAGGGCCGCAAGGGCAGGGGCGGCGTGCAAACGGCCCTCTGCCGCGCCCGCTTCGCACCCCTCCTGACCTTGCCCCTGCTCGCCCCCCCTCACCTGGTGGCCGGTGCAGTAAAGCGTCTCGGTCGCGGGCTGGCCCCCGGTGTGGTCTGGTCTGGCCGGCCGGCCGCCGTCCACGATCCAGCGCCACTCCGCATTGCCTGCAGCCGCAGCGGCGCCGGCTGCAGGGGGGACATGACAGAGGAAAAGGCGCAATACAACGCTCTCAGCGTAAGCGCGGCGTGCCGGGGGGTGATCATGAGGAGGCAAAGCTTTAGGCTGTGGGTGTCGCAGCAGGGGGTTTCAAGAGCGGCAAAATTTGTGGCCGCTGCGCAGGCGCGCTGTGCTCACACTGACTGAGCCGAGGGGAGCCGCAGCCCGCGCTCTCGGCCGCTCTGAGGGAGGAGGACCACGCCCTCAGGCTCGTCATGCACGCGCCCTGGGAGAGAAAGAGCGCGGTGTAATGCTGTGTCGAGCGAGAACGCGTACATGCACATGTGTTTGTGTCTCTGGTGTGTGCGTGTGTGTGTGTGTGTGTGTGTGTGTGTGTGTGAGTTTGTGGGGTTGTGGGTGTGCGATTTTGGGTGAGTGCTTGTGGTTCAAGGAGAGCAGGAAGGAGAAGCGATTTCTGGGACGGTCAGAAGCCGAGCCAGGGAGAAGGATGGAGATTGGTGTGTATGCTGACCTCTGCTAGTGCAGCAATACCCGTGCTGCCGACCAGCATGTGACCCCTGCTCGCAGGCCAAACACCCCGCCCACCTGCAGCCCCTGCAGCGGCACGCGCCCCGTGGGTATCACCCGCAGCCGCGCCGCCGTCACCCTCGGCTGACCCTGGAACCGCGCCCTGTAACCCCGCGGCCCCCGCAGCGTGCGGCTCGGCGACGCCGCCCGCCCGGCGCCACCAGCGCCGCCGTCGGGCAGCAAGCTGTGGACCGATAGCTCCCCGCCCTCCAGAAGGGCTAACACCGCGGCTGGGTCCTCTGTGCGGGCAATCGACCCCTGCGCCGGCACAAGACAAATCGAGCAGATGGCCCCGAACCACGGCAGCCGCCTGGCTGCGGGCGGCGGCGGGGCGGCGGGGCGCGGGCGGCGGCGGCGCGCAGCGGCGGCCTCGCCGTCGCTGCTGGCGTCGCTTGAGGTCGCGCCATCCTCAGACTCTGAGCCGCTGGCGGGCCCCAGGCCGGAGTCCTGGGTTGGTGGGTCGCGTCACAGAGCAGGCTGGGTTGACCGACCGCTGCGTGGTTGACAACTCAGATTTGCCGGCGTCGCACAATCAGGCGGAACAGCGCCTGCCCAGGGGCGCGCCTTCCCCCCTCTGAAACCGCGACCCGCGCGCGCACCTCTGTCGGCAGCGGCAGCGGCAGCAGCGCCAGTGCGTCCGGCCGGTCCGCCTCCTGGCCGCCAAACACCAGCAGGCCCTCCTTCTTGCCCTCCACCAGATACTCTACCGACCGCACCGCCGCCGCCGCGCCGGGCGCCGCCACCACGCGCAGCCGCGACAGCAGCCTGCACTGCAACGGCGGCTCCGCGCCGCCGCCGCCGGCGTCAGCGTCGCCGGGCTGCCCGTCGGCGGCCGCTGGCGGCTTCGGCAGGGCCCACACGAGGAC